GCTGTTCATCATCAGTAAGAAGTAGTTCACACGAACCCAAAACAGGAAGGTTATGGCCAGTTATACCTCTAATTGAAATGTCAGTTGTGTTAAGATACACACGTGATTTCAAACACTTGAGAAGTCTTTTAAATAAACGAATTCACACTGCCTGTGTCTATAATGAATGAATGACGAAAACAATGATTGACTGTGAAGGTACAAGTAATGTGTTGAGACTTGTTGGAACTGTTTACGGATAAAGCAAGAGACTGAAAATCAGTAGACGAGCATGAATCAGGGACTGAATTCTGTGTCAAACAGTTACGTGTGCTTCCACAAACAGACTGGATATGCCCAGACTTACCACACTTGTGGCACTTGGCATTGCGAAATTTGCAAGTCAGTCGAGAATATCGCCGACCGCATAACTTGCAAGGGTTCCAGTGGCGGATGTTATTATTTGTAGGTTGTGTGGACATCGGACTACGATTAACGACTTTGTTGACACTTTTGAACTGCAGCGTCTGCTGAGCTTCAAGCACTGACCCACGATTGTGACTGAACAATACTTTCGGCTCCTCACGTACGGCCGCACGTACATCCTGATATTGTTCACAGACCACCTTTGCGGTTTGAAATGTGCGGTTTGGAATCAACAATAACTGCTGCTGTAGCTCAAAACAGTTAATTCCAGCAACGAGTCTATCACGGACCTGAGTTTGAAGCTGATCTTTGAAATTACAGTGGGCAGCCTGAGTCTGCAGCTGAAGTCCCGGACAGACTGATTAGGATCACGAGCAAGGCAATGAAATTTCGCTTGCTCAGCTGCCTCGAAGTTGACTGGCTGGAAGTGTTTTAGTAACAGATCCTCCAGTTCTTCGTATTTCAGTTGTATTGGTGACTCTGGGAATGTCAAATTTTTAATCAGCGCATAAGCTTCCTTTCCAGCAGCAGTAAGAAAATGTGCTGTCTTCTTCTCGGTGTCCAGACTCTTGCGGCTGAGGCACCAAATCTCAAAACGCTCCAAATAATCTTTCACATAACGTGAATCCGAATGAATATCAAGAATTTCCAAGTTGCAGGTGTCCATAGTGAGATATAAACCGACTGCGACACCAACTGGGATAATCTGTACTTGGTATCGGAAATCAAATCACAATAAATCCGCGGAATAAAGCTCCAACCGAACTAGTACGCAATATGAAATAAAACACCAGAATATTCAAAGTCGAATTATATTACGCGCTGAAATCGTACAAAGCGATCGATCATGTAAAGAAACAAGAATATTTACTTTGCACACAATCACCACATAATCTCGTGGAGATAAATCAATAATATTGGGTCGTATGGCAATATTCACTCTCTCCGTTCCCCTGGTCCGTAGCCTCTGGCCGGTTGAACATTGTTCACTGTGTATTTCATTGGTACATTCGTTTTATTGCACTGATCAATGTTATTTTCAGTCACATCTAAGCAGCAGAGTAAAACTTGTAAATTGACTAGTGACTTGTGCTGAACGCCAGCAAAATCCCGTGTTGCTGAAGCCGTGTCCTTTTGCTCGTGTTTTGGGAGGCCTGAGAGATCGATAGCCGACCGTGCGTCCTGTGTTTCGCCTAGGTAACTTCTGCTCCTAGAACTATCATCCGCTCACAGACCTCCCGGATAGCACGTCGTCGACTAATAGTGGGCGAATAGCCGGCTACATTTGCGCTACAAATGAGCTACGACAACCAATTTGTCGCGCATTTGTAGCCCATTAGTCGGCTGATAGCGTGCTATTAGCCGGCTACAATGAGCTACATTTTTGAAAATTTCATTTCATCATTTCCGTCTTCTCTGTTTCCTAATCGCTTATAACCCCCACATTTTCTCGCTGTATTACTATCTTGTAATGGGCTTAAGCACGTTTTGTAATCATTACAACCCACTTTATTCACTAATCGAATAAATCCCTTATATCTTCCGTCACGCCTACTGCATCATTAAATCCTAATTTGAAGGTATCTTCAAACGAACTTCTACTGTAATAAGAGGCTTTCATGCAGGTAATTGGACGTATCATAAAAGACCATTAATTCATTGATCTATATTATGAAAGTAAAAAGTATGGTACATTTGCTGTGTAGTAATTTCCAGCCGCAATTTTCTGGCGGCAATTCCGTCCGCCGTATTTATGAACCACCTGCGTATTTCGCTTTCAACAGAATCCATTGAAGTATCGATAAATCTGGGGTTCATCCGAACAGCATCTAGTGAAGCACTGCATAGCTTATCACAATTACTTATCGATAACGTCTTTAACAAACGAACGGTAGGAAGCTTGTAGTTCCCCATGTTTTCCGGAGTAAGTCATCAGCACAGCTAATGAATTATGCAGTACCGTAGACACGGCACGTTTCACTGTATGTGCCACGTCTTTCCCAAGGTACTTTCTTCCGCTAGCAGGGGTGAACATTGTTGAACCGAACGAGCTAAACTAACCAGCCTTTGTGCACGTGTCTGATATTTCATCAAGCACATGCCTTAAAAATCCGGGCGTCTCAGGGATACTTGAATTTATCCACAAGGTTGAAATCACATTGAAGGAAGTGGGTTGCACTTATAAAATAAAACGTATTACGAATGAAGTACATGCTTTACAATTATATTACCTATATTTCTTGGACAGCATTTTCGGTGTTCATAAAGACTTGCCACAAACAGGACACTTAACCTGTTGCATCCGTTGTTTTCGTATGCGATAAAATGTCCAACGAGATATGGACGACCTTTTAAGAAGCTGAATAAAATTACGTTTCTTGCGTAATTACTGAAATAGTTCTCGGAAACAATTTGATTACGCAAAGCAAAACATTAACAATGAAATGAATATATCACAAAATGGACGTCAAGAAATAAAAAACTCCACACAGAGGCAACTAACGACAACCCAGCATAAGATAAGAGGGACTCAAACTGTCATTTCCCGACAAAAATTAAAACAAAAATCAAGGAGGTTTGACTCCAACAATACTTGCGCTTAGATTGATTGAAGAATAAGAATGAGTTAGCAAACCAAAACCAAATATGATGATTGTAATTTAAAGGTTAAATACTGTTTAATAACAAATGTAGCTCATAATTAGCTCGTTATAGCCGACTGGTGCGCTACGCTGTGCTGACTGGGTTAGTGTTAGTCCTCTGTTCCCGTGTTCCGTGTGCTACTATACCTACTATGCTATATTTTGTGTTCTTTGTACTTGTGGTATTCACCTGGGATATAATGCTGTGCGACCTAATAACAGACAAAGGATATAAGTAGAGTAAACCATAACAACTTGGCGACACTACAATTCGTATAGGTCAATCTCCGCAATTTAATCACCCGTCGGAACGACAAGCTGAATTTGTTCGTATCTATTATTCTCCCAGTGTCATTAGATGGTCAATTTTGATCGAGAATAATGCATCATTGAAAATGGACACCTGTATTAGGAGTGATTTATCAAGCCCTCAATGCGGGCGCTGAGGCTTTTCATAATGGTCACTGATACTACTACTATTCACAGATACTACTATTATGAATTTTTTCTACATTTTAATCAATTTCAATGAACGAATTAAGCGAATTGCGGTATGTTTGTGATATAAT